GGACAGCATGAGACCCATAGAAGCCATATAACAGGTCGCATCTTCACCATTTAAGGGTTACTTAATTACTCTGTTGACTGATTTATTCAAAGGCCTTTCAGACATGAAACCACAAACATGATAGGTACATGTAGCAGTAAGATCTCTTATCCACTTTTCTTCTCTGGGGATAAAAATAGTCACCCTTAATCATTTATTCCCTTGTTTGTACATAGTTAGCTTCACTGTTTCCTCTGGTTGCTTTTGTCTGCCCCAGTACTACAAGCAGTTCTTGGAAACATCCACCTTCTCTTGGTTATTTGGGCATGACTGCTTGCTACCTGCTTGAGCCTCTTTAAAGGAGATGCTGCAAGCTCTACCAAGATATTTATTGCTGGCACACTACTGACTCAAGGAATTAGCTAGGAAAGAAGAAACTGCCAAGCTGTGCCAAGTTCTTCCCTTCTCTTTAGGGAGTATCTCAGGACCCCTTTTCTATCTCATTTTATATTTGTAGCTAATACAATTATGACAGCATACCAATGTGGTGTTGGGGTCATTGTATCTTTCTCAATGAAGAAAAGGAAGTTAGAAGAGTAGGTAGCATTAGTTATTAATTTATGGAACAATAAGAAAAAAGATCTTAAAAAAGCAAAGATAAGGAGCAGTGCACCGTTCAACCTGATGATCTTTTTCTAATACCAAAAAATTAAGGGTTCCATAGTAAGAAACCAGAGACATCTTATTCTCCTAGAAAGCAAAAGGGAATGTAAACAGGAGGAATGAAGTCTTATTTAAAGAGATGCAGACATACAGATAGATTTGGGAAAACTATGACATATAGCATTTCTACTTGACAAAAGCACTTTTATCCCTGAGATATAGCAGAACATCTAAAGTTATATCAACAAGAGTACAATGCATAAAGCTAAAAAATAAAATTTGTTGGAATTTTATTTAAGCCCTATCAGAAGCACATTGAGATTTAAGATACATTTCTGAGTGGATCGACTATCCAGCTGAGGACTGGAAAACGAAGACAGAAAAACATTATAAAGTTTGTATTAAAACAGCAAGTCTCTTAAAAAAAAAAAAAAAAAAAAAAAAAAAAAAAAGCCTAAAAGTAACTTATCTGGATCTTTTATTTTTAATAAGGCTTGGTGCTGAAAGACAGTGAGACAGACCATTCTGTCTTTACCAGCAGAAGTATGGTAGCCATTTCAAGAATTAAGTCATCATTTTGACTGACTGAAACTGGGGGCTGTGGATATTATACACATAGAATCACAGAATGGCTTTAGTTGGAAGGAAACTTGAAGTCCATTTAATTCCAAATCCCTTCTGTAGATAGCGCTGCCACCCATCAGATCAAATTGCCCATGGCCCCATCCACCCCAGCCTTGAACGTCTCCAGGAATAGGGGACCTACAACTCCTCTGGACAACCTGTTCCACTGCAAAGTTACTGATATTTTGAAGCAACCTTAATATATTAATAGAAATAAAAAGTCTAAGATGTCCTGTTTATTTACAAGTGTTTTTATAAAATTTTCCTGTAATAAACTCAACCCCCCAATTACTGTAACAGGTAACAAAATGTCAGCAGTTAGGAATTCTTTTTCAGTGCACCAGACCACACCAGACAATTTTAGTTCCCATTACATTAACACCTAATGTCCTGTATTTCTACGCTTTCCACAGTCTGAACACACAAGTTGTATTTGTAGATGAAGCACTTTGTATATTGACCAAATCACTCATTAAGCAACCTGAAAATAGCAAGTCAATTGCTTACAACTGTGTATCTGAATACAGATCAATCCAAAGCACCTGAACAAACTTGTTAACCAGTGCAAATGCTAACACAATCAAGTGTGGAGTAATACACTTGTGGAGCAACCCAGAGAGCAGGCTATATTCTTACAGGCAACAGCTTCAGAAGTAAAGCTGGTAAATAGGGGATGAACACCACAATGACTTCCTGATGCACCAATACACGAGTCAACGCAATCTTTCAGTATGTCTGGCCTTTCTATGCCAGAACAGCAATATTAAATCTTTTTTTGCACCATGTGACTTTACAAAGGAGCAATGCATAAAATTCTAGTATCTTCATTTTACAAATGAGACACAAGATCAAGGAGATTGCAGAAAGTGGCTTTTCTAGGGGAAAAAAGAAAAAATTCTTAGAAACAGATGGAGACAATTAACCATAAAATTTTTGCACAGAGAAAATATCATGAAGAACTCTCTGATCTGGAAGAAAGGCACAATATCCAAAACTACAGCCAGACTGCTCAGTATATAGATTAAATTCTTACTAGCAATAGGACATGTGAACAAAGCATAAGATCAGTGTCAGAAACTGAAGAAACTAACATTCAAAGCAGGCCCTTCTAGAAAATATATTTAACCAAACAGCAGTTTACTGAACCCAGATTTAAAAAAAAAAAAAATAATCTTGAGGAAATTGAAATAATGATAAAATCTCGACAATGCAACAAGATGGTTTCTGCTACAAAAATGCAGGAAAGCAAGAAGCCCAAACATATCAGCCTGAGGGAATGTTATTAGCTTCCCCTACATCTTGCATGACCTTGCCTGCATCCAGATTCACATTCCCCCCTCGCTCTCTCTCTCCATCTCCAGCAATGCAGTGTTACTATAATGCACAACGGTATGGTGCTTCTCCAAACTGTCTCACAGAGCATTTGAAGGATAATGGAGGCACATAAGAATAATACATTGATGAAAATGAAACAAGCTGTTCACTTGGAGTTACCCTATTCCAAAACTTGTTTATAAAGAAACTGCAATTTGTTTGTATTACAGATTCAATATACTGCTGATAAACTGTTAAGCACCTGCCTTTTCAAGCTTTGCCTTCTCTAGAAACGCATCTTCCAAAATTACATTGATGTAGTAATTCTCTATTTCCAGCAGAACAGATCTTTTATTGTAATTCTTCCTCCTATATAGGCAAGGGCTATTTTTCTGCCCTTCTCCAGGCACATGAGTACCCTCTGTTAAGCACAAATGCCTTTACCACCATTCAAAATAGTCTAATCTACTTTACAACAAGTAGTTGTCCCAAGGTAAAATTTACTTATTTCATTCACAAGAGAAACAGTACTCAGAATTTACAGAAATCGGTGCTGCAAATATTTCAAACCCTTCAAATTTAAAGTTTAGCTAGAAACTCTTATGGATGAAAAACCAGAGCAAGAATAACAGCAGAAGAAATGATGTTTCCACTCTACCTTCAAAATTACTGTAAATTAGTGAGTTAAAAGGAACCTATAATCAATGGTTTGTGTTCAGCCTGAGATGAGAAATTCACGAGGTATATCAGAAGTTCTGTGTTTAACCTAAATTATTCATAAAATAAAAATATATAAAATATAAACTAAAAAATTAAAAAAAAAAAATTGAGACAGTCATAGAGAGGTCTGGAGCTCTGACTGTTTGTGGGTGTATATGTGTATATTACACATATGTACTCCATGTACGCAGTACTTGAATGTACTATATACATGCCACAGTATCACAGACTGACTGAGGCTGGCAGGGACCTCTGGGTCCATCTGATCCAACCCCTGCTCAAGTAGGACCACTCAGAGGAGGGTGCCGAGAACCATGTCCAGGTGGTCTTTACAGATCTCCAAAAAAGAACAGGCAACCTGGGCAAGTGTTCTCTCACCTACCCAGTAAAAAAGTGTCTACTGATGTTTGGATGAAACCTTCAGTATGTGTTAGCTTGTGCACAACGCCTCTTGTTCTGTCACTTGGCACCACTGTAAATAGCTTGGCACCGTCGTCTTTACACCCTTCCATGACTTTGCATGGAGCACAACATCAGGAAGCACTTAGAGAAACCAGTGAGATCTGTCCCCTCCTCCACCAATTTTTCTATTAGACATTCGTAACAAAGCAAACTACAAATGATTACTGAATAGTTAGAATCTTTTAGTTAAAGGCTAGGCAACCTTATATTGGTTTGGCACTGTCTAGCTCAGTACAAGAAGCATAAATTAAATATCATACACTCATGTATACTGACTATAATGAAAACATCACATGTACAGTTTTCAAGAGATCTCAATTCATCTCAAAGTTCTGTGGTACAGGTTACAGTTAAGAAAACTAATAATTGATTTTTAACTGCCACAAGCTAGGCACATTTTCCCCACTGCTACAATAAGTAAAGCATTTACTTTCCAATAAGTGACAGCTTTGCAAGCTGGTGCTGGAAAGAGCAGATTTTGTTCTTGTGCTGACCTATGGACTTTGACGTGTTTAATTGCTCCTACGTGTAACACATGTAGCAATCCACAGAACATAACAAACTGTGTTTAAAATAATGGCTGCCTTCATTTATTTAACATGAAGCTAAACATTTGCAGCTTAATAAAATGACATGCTGGATAAAAAGTATGAAAAAATAGAAAATGAGAAAAAAGGAAAGAAAAACATTATTCTAGAAAAAACAAAGTCTCTTCTCCAACTGACAAGAGACAAAGCCAGAACTTGCTTCATCTTTTTTAATCAAAGAAACAAATCTTACTTAAATTCTGAAAGATATATGTCCATCTCTGGCTCATGATGCATAGAACATCCAATTGTAGCAAACATTAAAAAAAAAAAAAAAAAAAAAGCACAGTTCCTTAAAAAGATAAGCATACTAATGCAAGCAACTTTATCTTAATGCAAATTTGCTAAAAGTGAGAATTCCATTACACGTGACTGGGGTACAAACAGAGACAACGGTAGTCAAAGTTTTACAAGGTTGTAGATTCTAAAAAATAAAATGCTTTATTTTTTGAAGTTGCAGAACACTTATTTTTTCAGGAGTGACAGTAGCTGAAGAGACAAAAACAATAAATAATCAACAGAAGTGCTCCCTAACGAAAACATAATTACTTCTATTAGCAATTCTGTGAGGGTTCACAAATACGGTACAGCACAGCTGAGAAATGCAAGCAGTTATATTAACAGAACTGCCATGGCCACCTGGAGACCTACCTGATTACTGCTTTTTGCTGCCGAGCTGGTCTGAGCTGTATTTGAAGAGAGGGCATCAAAAAAGGCTTGGTCAGCTAATGAATTGCCACAACTAATTCCATCTTTTGTACCATCAGTTATAATCTGAAATGAGAAAAATTGCAGAAGATTTTTTACGCTTCCATGAATTCAATTACACAGTTTATCACATATCATTCTAACACTAGATGTTAAGATGGCAGCATACACCCTTTTTGAATTTAAATTCAACAGTACCTTTTATGAGTAGTAGTTCAATAGTATCTTTTACAAGCAGTTGAGTCTGGAGGACTCATTTCCACAACAGATAGAATCAGAGTGCATTAGCACAGTGTAACAAATTTGTGGTAGCAGATATATATCTATAAATTCATTAGGGATCAACATGGTTGTTAACATTACTGCTTGGAGACTGGGAATTCACAATCAGTTTGGGACAAGTCAGGAGAGCAAAAAGCTACATAGAAGCTAACCAGACAAATACAAGAAACAAGATTATGCAAGTCAGCATGTCTCCCACCCCGAGATTTGGGTTTTTTTTTCATCTTGGTTGCTTTGTAAAAATAAACAGCACTGGTGAAGGAAGGGAAGGACATGCTTTAGTGACACTGGAGGAGTTACAGCCAGAAATCTTGACCCAGCTGATGACCTGCAGATGTATACATGCTCTATGTTTCAAAGGTGAATGAGATTCCACGCTTTACATTCAGAGATCTGTTCCATCCCCACCCCAGTAACCTCAGTCTTCAAGCAAAGAGCAGATCAACACACAGAGGAGACACTACAGGCCCTCGGGAAGATAAATGGAGCAGTCCCTGGATTTGGGATCCCACACCCTGAGCCCCAGATGTGCATTTCCATTCCAGAGATCTCATGGGCATGAGGTATATCAGCTACAGCAAGAGCAGAGCAAACTTGCATTACTCACTTTACTTCTGCATCTGAGTTCTAAGATTGGAAAACAAAATTATTGGATCACGAGACAAAACCAGAAGCAAACTCAAAACAGCTCATGTTCTGCATATATATCACTAGAATTCACAATGGCTAATATTATGTTGCATTTCTTGGAAAACCACTAAGGAACACAGTAGTTTTAGATTACATTTGCCATGGTCTCCAAAGTCAGCTACAGTTGTTTCAATAATATACATTCTGAATATTAGTACTAAAAGTTTCACATTTGAGCTGGTCAGCAAACCGGATGATTGCTTTTTCAGTAGTTCTGCTTTTTTAGCACACAGTGATGCAGTCACTTACCTCTACATAATCTGTTGGGACAAGTCCTCTTTCTCCTTGGCTATTTTTTCCTTCTAACCACCCTCCACCGACATCCTAAAAAAATAATACATAAATAATTTTGCTAGATGGATCCCACAGCATGCTTCAAGCAACTCAGGAAGAAGTACTGTCTTGTTGTCAAGTGCTGAATGCAAGATTCAAAAGACAGTTATGACTACAACAAACTCACTTAAATCCACTGAATAAGGAGGTACTCATTCAAAAGAACACAGACCACACTTGTTTAACAGGACTACTGTGGGCTTTAACAGGCATGAGACAAAAAAAGTTGATTTTGAGCACTTTCGATCATTCATGCAACCACAGTCAATGCTCAGTGCATAAAATACAACAATTTGTGTGCTGTTTCCAAAACATTCATTTTTCTCAGCATTATAAAGAGGCAAGATGCATAGAATTAAGCTATTGGTAGCATTTGCATAATCTGGACTTCACCTGTGGAAAGTGCAGATGCAACCAGTTAAGTGGCAGCTATAAAACAAGAACATTATGGCTAACCTCAAGGTTCAAAGGCAACTGCCATACAAGATCTGGAAACACTCCTAGTTTACATTTAGTATCACTGAGGCATGTCTTAGTCTATCAGCTTGGAAAGAACTAAGACAGTTCAGATCTCAGCATGGCACCCTGATATTGTTTTTTTGAACACATATTTCACACATATTTGCAGATAAGCAGAGTCAATTTCAAGACAATGCTATGTGGAATAAGACAGCTCTGAGTTAAAAATCAAGCTGCTACTTGAACACAGTTACACCTCAAGTTCATTCACAGGTGAGTACTGGAACCATATGCGCTATACAGCAGTTACTGAATTTCAGGTTCTTAATTTGCTTTTTTAATTGATGTATTTATTTATGCACAATATTTTTTCTCTTTGAAAAAATCATGCAATCCTGCACATAATGAGAGAAGTCTGCTTCTGTATTTAAAGATTTGAAATAGTAAAGACCAATCATTTACTGAAATAAACTTTCATTTGCTTTTTTGTTATGGAACTAAATGATCACACACCACCACAAACAACTAGATATCTCACATTATAAATTCAACCTAGTTTGGTTAATCGGCAGGACTAATAATATCTTGAGCCAGAAATCACATTTGTACTGCACTTAATAGAAGTCACAGAATCACAAAACTGTAGGGATTGGAAGTACTTCTGGAGATCACCAAGTCAAACACTCCACTAAAGCAGGTTTCTTACAGTAGGTCACACAGGAAAATGTCCAGATGGATCTTCAGTTCCCCAGAGAGGGAGACTCCACAGCCTCTGTGGACAACCTGTTCCAGCGCTGTGTCACTGGAAAGTTCTTCGTGTTTGTAAGGAACTTTCTTTCAGTATTTCAGTTTATGCCCATTCCCCTTGTTTTGTCACAGCACACCAGTGCAAAGATTCTGGCCCCAGTCACTTGACTCCTGCACTTCAGATACATATGAAGTGATGAGATCACCTCTCAGTCTTCTCAAGGCTGAATAGTCCCAGGTCTCTCACCAGTGGACTTCCATGATTTCTGCTACTGCTGTCTCTACATTTACCACATAAAAAAGATCAAGAGCCTTCGTTGCAATCTACCCCACAGTTTAGTCAAGGACAGCATGAAATAAGTTTCTACTTCACTTTGAGCATATTGCCTTATCACACAAATGGCTTGTTTAGGAAAAACCAGCTTGAAAGCTGTAAACTATTTATTCAGCCCTACCATTGAAAAAAAAAAAAAAATTAAACTCCTGATTTAGTTATTATTTACCTCTGCTCCCACAAAATATCTTGTTGAAGAAGATGCTGGTTCTACAAAAGGTCTGCTTCAAGTATTTATGGTCAGTGGAACTAAAAAGTATCAGGATTATATATGATTAAGTTCTTTCAAAAATGTGCTTAGGCTTTATTACTTCCTATGCAACCAGATAATAAAATCTGGCATAAAATGAGGATTTGTTTGTCTGAAAAAGAAAGCCTATTCACTGAGCCATATCACTGAAGATTCGGAAGCATCATCAACTTACACTTACCTTGTTAAAATGTAAGAACTATAAAAGGCATGCTGAAATTAATAAATCAAATGTCACTGCTCAAGCATATGATTAATTTAAAATTTCCTTGACAGCATTATCTCAGTATTTTCACCACTCCTTCACAGTACCTTGTGGTACCACTGTACCACAAAAGAGAAGGAAAAAAAAAGAGAGAGTACACACTTAGATGTAAAACGCATCAGCATCACTAGCCCATCCTTCTGCCTTGGCACTCAGCACTACTTAGATGAAAAAAGTCAAGCAAAAAATTCCAAAGCGTGTAGACAAAGTCTGACAGGGCCCCCATTCTCCAGAATTTTGCTCATTGTATTTGTTACCACAACACTGCTGGAAAATTCTTTGGGTTTAGTTTGGGTTTAGTTCATTTTAGCTACTTCAGGGGAAGGTAGACAGGGACTTCAGATGCCATCTAGAACATCTTTTCCTTCATTTGCTGGAAGCAGGTCAGGACAGTGCACTGAAGCCCTGTTTTTAATTTTTCTTACCGGGTTGGTAATTGTGATGATCTCCCCTTCACTGACGGTCAGCTCGTTGTTTCCAGGCTCAGCAGCAAAGTCGTACATAACACGAGCCTACATAGTAAAAGAAAACAGCAGTGAGTCTTCTGTCACGTTCAGAAGATTTAATGGAGGAAGTATGACTTAAATAGCAGAACTACTGGACATAAAAAGAACAATTTCAACACGTAGGGAGCTGACAGTTTCTGAATTAGAACCCCAAGTTGAATTTAACACAGATTGTATGGCACTAAAATCTCCTTAGAGCATGTCAGAGATGATCATTTTAAGATTGGCTGTTTTCTGCCATCTCCTGAACAGCCCGGACAGCTTTTTTTCCAGGGGAAGAAGGTAGCAAACAATTCAATTAATATTTTCTTCTATGAGACACATTCCAACTCGTTTGGGTAAGTGGGACGGTTTCACAGTGTAAGCAATTTGGCCAAAGGATACCAAACGTTACTGCAGATGTAGGTACACACGAAGTAAGATGGAAAATTATGTTCTGAAATTCTTTGTAAAAAGGAGGAACTATGCAAATGCACATAATGAGAATAGGCCTGTTATATATTGACTGGAGCAGGAAGGAGAAAATAACCCAACCATCTAATTATTAAGCATTTAGAAACAATACCTTCAGCATATATTGAATTTAGTATTATGCTCCTTAAAAAATTGTTTGAAACACTAACAAAGCTGTCTGGTGTTTAAAGAACAGTTCTGCTTTATATACTATGCCACAATTGTATGTAAGACTATATTCCCAAACACATTTTCATTGCTTTCTATTAAATTCCTCTCCAATGTAACCAGAAAAGACCTTCAGGAATAACAAAGTGGTTATATTTATTTTCCTACAAATTGTTGAAATTGATGCAGAGAACATCTGACACGTATAATTCACGTATAATTAATAATTCACGTATAACACGTATAATTCATCCATGAACCTTAAAGGAAGATCTAGCATAAAATTTTTAGCCTGTCATTTAAAGTGGCATATTAGATTTAAATCTGATCAAACAAGAGAGCTAGAAACCCTTTATCTAAACTAATCTTTCTTGGAAATAGAACTCATCATACTAAAAGAACTTACAAATAATAGAAGCCTTTGTTGTGTTATCTCAAGTCTCCATGTTAGCCAGGTGCCCAAAAGTAATCAATACATTATTTCATCTGTTTGATGACAACAGCGAAGTATTACAGAACAGCAAAAGAGAAAGCTGGACTGCTGGTCAGGAAAACCCAGGCGTTAGCAGACAGCGCTAATAACTGTAACAAAAAGCTTTTCTTGTCCAGCTAAAATAACTATGTATAAACTCAGTTACAAGAAAAAAGAAATGAAAATTTGTGGTTGCATAGGAAGGTCTCCAAAACTGGTAACATAAGCACTGCTCTACAGGCCCCTCAGTTCACAGAATGGTCAACTGAGAAAAGAAACCATCTCCCATTAGCTCCTCCAGGAGCAGCAGAAAGTCTGATTTGAAGAAACACATCAATTTCTCCAGCCTATCTGCAAGACTATGATATTGCTATCAACACATATGCTTTTAGTTTCCTCAGTTCATGCACAAGTAGGCTTTGTTCCTGCTGATTAATATATACATACAACTCCAAGAAAAACAACTTTATAACACTATTACTAATAATGTCAGATGGTGCCTCCACCAAGGGCCTTCTTGCCCTTTGGGAAAGAAAAAGCAAAATAAATTGTTTCTGCCAGAGAGAGAGAGAGCACTTTAGTATACATAAGGATGTTGAACATGTCATTTTTACAGCAGGTTATCAACACATACTCCATTCAGCAAGTCTACTTAGTATGGCTCAGATGATGGGCATCTGACCTGAGGGGGAAGCCTTCTTAGCTACTTCAAGTAGTACAGACAGCATTAAGTTCATGCTTAAAAGAGAGTTCACCAGGACACATGCAATTTTATTAGTCTTCAGAAGTGGTACAACATCCTACAGCAATGACCTGACTGGAAAGCTAAAATACTTGTGTCTAATAACCTTGAGATCAGGTGCAAATACTTTGTTCCCTAATGACTTGTTCAGAGAAATCTGGAAGAATTCAGCATGTATGAAAGAAAAGAGGAAGACAGATTCATAGCATTTAATAAAGCTCTTGTGTCACGTCTATCCACTCACTTCCTCCAGATTCCTATTTCACTGAGAGTAGAAGAAAGGGGGGAGAGGGGAAACCCAGTCAGTTTTTCCCTTGCTGCACTTCGACAAATTGAAAGAACTGAGGTACTAAAAAAATGGATTATCGTAAAAACATTTGGCATTTGAGATATGTTTGTAATTTGATCTGTATATCAATAACTCAAACATATTCCTCAGTGGTTTTTTATTATTATTATTTACACTTTTTGCTGGTACTCTCCCTTCCCTTGCTTCATTTATAGAATACAGCAAATCCTCTAAATAAGTAACAGTTGCCACGCTGGGCTGCATTAGGCCCAGCACTGACACTGGGCAAGGAAAGGGACTGTACGGTGCTGCTCTGCGCTGTGCAGCCTCACTTCAGGTGTTGCCTGTGGGTTTGGGCACCACAACATAAGAAGGACACAAAGCTACCAATGAAGGGTCCAAAGGGTTACAAAGATGGTGATGGATCTGAAGAGCAAACTGTACAAGGAGCAGTTGAGGTCCCTGTGTTTGCTCAGCTCAGAGCAGAGGAGCTGAGGAGGGGCTTCATGGCAGCTGCAGCTCCTCACAGGGAGCAGAGGGGCAGCGCTGAGCCCTGCTCTCTGTGACAGCCACAGGGCCCGAGGGAACGGCATGGAGCTGTCAGGGGAGGGACAGGCTGGGTGCCAGGAAAAGCTTCTTCACCAGCACGGAGGTTGGTGGGCATGGCACAAGCCCCCCAGGGCAGTGGGCATGGCCCAAGTGTCCAAGTTCAAGGAGCATTCAGACATCGCTTTTAGGCATAGGTTTGAATTTTGGTGGTGCTGTGTGGGGCCAGGGATTGGGCATGATGAACCTTGTGGGTCCCTTCCAACTCAAGAGTATTCTGTGAATCTATGACCAATTGTGCTCACAGCAGCTTTTAAAGCAGCTTGCCCATCTAAGCCAACATTGGTAAGCGATCCATCCTTTATCATCCTGTTCAAGTATATACAATGAACACCATGCATTACAGCACTTGGAAAATATCAGTGGCACCCACTCAAAATTTGATCATATCTTTGAAAACACTTTCCCCATGGATAAGACTTCTACAAAAAAACAGATCTTGCATTATGCTGCAGATTCATGTGTTTCAGCCACATCTAAAGTTTAAAAAACTTGTATCACAAGATGACAGCCCCCCTAGGATAGACAAGGGCAGCACACACTACGAAGAAAATAACCATAAAAGGTTCAAAGTATGAAATTCCTCTAGTAAATGCACACCTTCCCTCTAGTAGTTAGCACATTAGTCTACATTAGTCACATTAGCTTCAGTCATTCAGTATGGCACTTTTCATGGGATAGAAATTCACAACGTCGGTCTCCTTCAAAAAGAGACTGTGGGCTCATGGGTGCACTCCAGCTTCATGTCCTACTTCCCATGCTGCTGGGAGCAGTAGCTTCCAGATTCATAGAGAGAAGATCAAATTCCCTGTTTCTTTTCTGGAAAGTAACTGGGGCAGATAAATCTTTTCAAAGAAATTAGCAACACACTAGAGAAGCAGAAATCATAATTTGGGAAGCCTGGTGAAATGTCTACAGAAGAAAAAGAATAGAGACAAAGAACTAGCTGCAAATAACTCCATTCAGAAATAGGCAGTATCTCTTCCTACCACACTGCTGCTATTCCCAAGGGATATGTGACAAGGCTAAAAATTAAAACAATTAGTATCCAAAGTTAACAGGAAAAAAATGTTTTAGAAACAGAGCTAAGAGCCACCCCATTTCTTTCCCACCTCAGAGTGCTGAATATGCCACCTTTCTTCCAACAGTAGCATCATTCAGATTTATTTAACCTTCTTCTCTCTTCATTCTAAAACCCAGGTTCACCCAAAAGCTATTACATACCCCAGGACTGAATAGTTTTTCACGCAGCAACAGCAATATCTGGTGCTGTGATTTAACAAGACTGCCTCTTTGTTTTAGTCCATACATCACAATTATACCGGACTGCCATGTTAAGTGTATATTTGGATAATCTAAGCAGAAATATTAAATAGCTCTTAAAGTGCTTATGCCTCTGAGCCTGGAAAGGCAGCTACTTTCTGTCTTGCCTCAAGTACAGAATTCTCTACACATGTTCCTCTTACAGGCATTCCCAGGAGACAAGAAGCAAACAAAATCACAGGTGGAAGGACTCTAAGAACACTGTCTCCATACAGAAGCCTTACCTTAGGAATTCAAGAAATTATACACCATTTTGGAAACCAAAATTTAAATGATAAGTTATTACAAAGCAAATTAAAATGATGCTGATCTTTTTAAACTAATAAAAGGCAGATGGAGAAAATGCACATTGCCTGTACAATGCCAGGCATTGCCGTTTCTGTACGTTGTGTCATGCATCTACCTAGATAAACCCACCAGTGTGAGGATACCATAACTACCTCTTCAAACATGGTTTTATACCATAATTTTATTAAACTGTAAGTAAAAACTATATTTGATTTGTCCAATAAAGATGCTTTTTCTCTACTGACAAAATGGGGTGGGTTTTTTGTTTGTTTTCTTTTCAGGATCAGAATTAAAGCAAATTCATCCAGAAAGTGAGATCATAACATTCAGATGTCATTACTCTAAGTTCCCTCACCAGCTGTGGCTCCACAAATACTCCATAAACTCAAACTGAAAAATGTGTCTCTTGACCTGCTGGCTCACTTTCTTCTGAGCAATTTTTCAACTGTAAAATAACTCAATAGCCTGCAGCTACTCATTTAGAGGTAACAACACTGACTACAAGCACATGAGAAGCAAATTAAATACAGATAAAAAGCTAAGAAACAAGAACATGCATCATTTTGTCCTGCTAATAAAAAGATGCTTGTTGGTAGACGAAACAGAGCAGGGAACTCCTTTCTTCATCCAGTAAGCTGCACGTGTCTCCAGTACTTCAGGCAGAC